GGTTCCTGAGAAAAATCCTTCCTCATTAGCTTGCTCTTGCACTCCACTGGAAAATTACAACCTCTGACCTGCTCATCTAGATGATCACTTCCAACAATGGGAGGAATGCTGCTCTGAAAATCTACCCATTATGCCCAAGCAGAAGAGACAGAGAGGGTCATACCCAGTGTATGGGGCTCAAGGAACAAGCTACCCATACTCGGGGCAGGGAAGAGGGAAGGGTATAGGGCTAGGAAACTCCTTTCCAGTTTCAGAGCCTTGGATTCTTTGTGGCCATATGGCAAACCTACTGAATCACATCCATTTTGCCTTGAATACTTTCTGAGCCTTATTTTCAGGCCCCTTGAAGAAGGGTCCACACCAGTCTGAAGCAGAAACTATAGCTCCTGAAATGACCAGGCATCTTGGTGATGAGTGAAGGACACCAAGAATGTGTTGGGCTGCTTTTTGTATGTGACCATATTCCTCCAAACTCACAGTCTCTGACAAGATAAGGGAGCTGAGGACAGTCCCCTGAGCGGCTTGGTCCATGGAAATGTGAAGGAAGGATGAGCAGTCTGGATGGTTCAATTGTCACGGAGACAGGTGTACATCCCCCTCTGTTTGGCCAATACTTTGAATAATTCAGATTTAAAGGTTGAGCTTCAGAGTGAGGCTTCATTTTCTACTTCTGGTAGGTCTTCCCATGCTGCAGGAGCTGTTCTGGGGTGATGGTTCGGATACAGTTGGACTTTCGGTCGGTCCATGAGCATCACTGAAGAGGCCACTGGGGAAATTCTCATCTGAAGTCATTTCAGATCCGTGTTCTCGGGGGAAGGTGGCTCTGCATTCTCCTTAGTGACAGGACCAATGTCTAGAACTTAGTTTATCTGGTCGCATCGAGGCCTTAGCAAAAAAGAGGCCTCTCCACAGCGGGGTTCCAGACTTGCCTCTTATCTCAGTGGAACAAGGGTGCACAACACAGTCACTGTGGGTCACTGAAGAACCAAACAAGGCAGGAGAATGCCTTTCACTATGGTTTGACCATTGTGCTGGGGTACCTCCAGGTGGGAAGTGTGGGGCTCAGCCGCTTCAGTGGGGTAGACCTAAGAACCTGGCGGAAACAGGACTAGGTGACATGCAGCCAGGTCAGCCTGTCTCTGGCCAGGTTCTTGTATGTTCCCAGAGAGGCTGATCACTTCGGGTTCACAACAGCAAGGTGCAAACTCCCTTGGGTTTGTGACCTGAGCCTGGAATTAGGCTTAGAAGGATGCATTGGGAAGAAAACATTTTTCTTTCTCCAGTTCTAAGAGGGTAGGAAGGGCTAATAGGGTCCAAAACAGCTTCTCATCTTCCCTTGGGTTTTTTTTTCAGTAACCACAGGGTTACCTGACTACTTGTCAGAACAGTGACTGATCAGTTGCCATGTGAAAGCTGAGCTGAGAGCAGGCATCAAAATCAAAGACGAACCCTCATAGGTCACATCCTACCTCTGCTGACATACCTAGAAACTTCTGGAAGCAATGACATTGCCTGTGACCACATGCAAACCCCTGTTCATTTAGGTTCCCATTTCGGGCATCTCAGGGAGCTCTAAAACAGAAACTTTGCAAGATACAAGGAAGGCGTCAAAAAGTTCGTGGACAATTTCCCATGATCGGTCCATTCCATTTTCCCACGAACTTCTTGAAGCCCCTTCCTATTTCTGCCTTTCAACTGAAACTAAGGTGCCCTGGCTGTGCCCTCGGAGTAGGGGTTAAGGGTGGGAATGAAGACGTTCCTACCAGAATCGGTAGCCCTTGGGCTCCTCAGAAGTTGGAAAGACGAGCTCAAAGGAGAGGAAGAGGCAGAGCTACCAAGCAGTTTAGAGATTACAATGAGCAGAACCTGCATTCCTGAAGAATACCTCCCTTATTTTGTGTACCTTGAACTCAGGGTGGAATGCAAGAGTTGTCATGGCAACATCCTCACGCTCTCTTTTTAAAAATTTTACACTTTGATCACATGAGACCCACGCACAGTCTGGAAGCCACTGCTAATAGTTCCGATGAGGGGTCCTGTTTGGGGGCTCCATTTGCATTAGAAGTAAAGAGAACATCATCTTGGGGGGGAGCGGGCAAGGGATCTGCTTCCTCCCCTGGTCATCACAGGTCATCTGGGGAACACCTGTTCTTGCAGAAAGAATGAGCCAATGTTTTCCAATACACTTAGCTGGTGCCCTGTGGCTGGCAGGGAAGGCCATGTAAATCTTTTCCTTGGAGGATGGAGTGAGGGGTAGCTGCCATTCCTCCCTCTCACTTCCAGCAGAGGGCGCTACCACCTGGTCCATCTGGTCAGGAGTCCTGTGGCCAGGACCCTACCTAGCTGGAGACCTTCAGCATGTTAAACCTGCTGGACAAAGAAACCAACACTTCCTCACCAAAGGGGCAAACGCTCAGCTCCCCAAGTCTAAGGAATGCCACCCACTCAGGGCTGCCCTCACACACTGGGGGCCATGTGTGATGCCTCCAAGATGAGGTCAACTTACAGACAGGCTTCTTTCATGCCCTCTCCCCTAGTACTGCCACAGTGCTTCAGTCTGCTGTTCTTCTCCTAGCAGAGAGGGCAGGGGTAGGGAAGGAGACTGTCTCAGGAAGAGCTTTGGATGTCCCTCCAGAACTCTTACATCCCTTCTAATGAAATCTAACCTCACATCCTCTGAGTTCCAGCCTCACCATCGGCATAGCAACCCCCTCTGCGTGGCAGGGATCCTTGCAAAGTCCCTGGGTCTCTAGCCAACCTTAGGTAGGGCCCTGTACACAAGGCCCAGGAGGCTGTGGTCTGTGGCTCAGCGATCAGCTAAAGATCGGGAATCAGGTCTCTGTGAGGTTTGTACCCTCTGCTCACCAAAGTCCAGTCCAGAGAGCGCAAACCGCTGTGGACAGAGACAAATAACAACTCAACAGGTGGATTAATATTCTGCATTTGGACCGGCTCCCTTTTAGGGTTCCGATCTAGAGTGGGGCATGGTGTGTCAGTGGAGGGAAGGACAGGAAAGACTGGGCAGAGGCAGAGAGGTGTGAAAGGCAAGCTGCTGCCTCCCTTGGTCCTGCATGTCGCCAGACTACTGGCATCTTTACAAAGGGATTCCAAACTATGGCTCGAACCCTAGTTTTACTTGTGCTCATCATGAATGTTTGAGCAGGAAAGCTCCTCCACCCCCACTCCCACCCCCACCATGTGGAGCCATTTCAGGGACCGGTTGCAGAGGGGAAGAGGAAGAAGGCCCTAGAAGGAGACTCTGGGTGCTACAAGGAAGAAAGCAGAGGACGCAAGGGTGGATGTGAGGACGAGCCCAGGTATGAAAAGCACACCCAAACACCTACTCTGCTGCATGGACAAAGGGGAGTTTCTGGCACCTTAATACTGGGGTAGAGGCGCTAGCTTGCAGCTTTAGAATGCAATCAAAAGAAACAGGGGCAGAACTAGTCCATTACAGAAATGAAGACCTGAGCTTGGATTGGCACATGGGAAAGATTACATGTAGAGGTTGTTGGCTGATCGCACACGACTATGCACGCCTGGATGAATGCTGATGGCTAAGATGACACTGAAGGAGTTCTGGTAGCGTAGTGGTTACAAGTCGGGCGGCTAATCCCAAGGTCAGCAGTTCAAAACTACCAGCTGTTCCACGGGAGAAAGATGAGGCTTTCTGTTCTTGTAAAGATTTACAGCCTTGGAAACCCTGTACAGAGTCGCTATGAGTCGGAACCGACTCCACGGCACATCACCACCACCACCACCAGGATGATACTGAGGAGGGCTGAGAAATTCCAGGATGAGATGACATCAAGCATAAACTATGGGATTCAGTCTCCTTTCCCAGTGGAAGTGTCTTGCAGGTAGGGGCAGAATCACCTGATGTTTTGCCTATGCCTGTTCAAATCTTTCTCTCTTTCTCTTGCGAAAATGAGTTGATGGCAGGATCGGAATGCCAGATGATGCTCCAAGTACAGTATGTGCCATTTTCCTGCTTCAGCGTGTATCTCTTTCTAGATAGGGAAGACTATCGAAACCACCTTGCATATGGGGGGAAAGGCTCAGCTGTGGAGGGCCTCAGTTTCCAGAAGTTGGCTGAGAGGGAGATACGTTCATGCTCCAATGCCCGGGCTGCAAACACCTCACTCCCAACCTCACCCCCTCTCTCCCTCATCCTTCCTTGCGGGCTTGGCTGGGGAGGTGAAGTTTAAGTGAACAGGGAGAAAGATGTAGGCCTGTCTCTAGTTTAGATGCCCAGGCCTCGGTGTACCATGATAGCACAAGGGGCAAAGCTGGGAGGAAGATTCTCTGCAGATTCCAGAATGCTGGTGCGAGGTGGGCTCTGGGTACAGAAAGCCAGGTGCCAACGGAAACCGAGAGCTCCCCAACTCCCCCCACGGGGCTCCTGTAAAAAAGGCAGTAAAAACGGAGGGAACTGGGGGCACAGCTGCAGATCGCTGTTGGCACCCCCAACTCAATGGCTTTCCCCTCGTGCCTTGGGAGAGGGGTCTGCACTGGGTGGGCGAGTGAAGCCAGGGTGACGTGGAAAGTCCCGCTTTCTGGCGTGACCCCCAAAGTCAGGCTCTTTTGGGGTGTGCCTGCCTGCAGGGGGAACCTCCTGTGAACCCGTGGGCAGGAAGAAAGGGATGGGGAGACGGACACTTGTTGACACCTCTCACTCTCTCAGCCACCACGACTGGGGTTGCTGCTGGAATTACGCGATGGCAATGCAGTGTTCCTCTTGGGAGTCGTCAGCAGTGGTGGAAGCGATCGGTCGGGACTCCGGGTATTTATTGCATTAGGAAAGGAAACCATTAAAGCATTGAAGACAGCCCTTTTGAGTCCCTGCCAAGCAGAGGATGCTGATTTGCAAGCCCAGTCGCACTGCATCCTGGGGTTCTGTCCAGAAATGGGCCCTCCTCCCCGCCGGCGTTTGTGGGGGAACAGTTTGGCCGCAGGCCATGCACATGCGCGCTGAGCTGGGAACACAGTGTGGCTGAAGGCTACTCCATGCCGCTCCGAAGGATCTGATTGGCCGCAATCAACATGACACTGATGATGAAGGCCATGGCGAAGGCGCATATGAGACTCTTCCGCACGCAGGTCTGCCTGTTCTGTTTCTGCGAGTGCACTGGGGAGAGGAGGAGAGACCAGAGAAACGACACAGTGAGTCAACAGGTTGTTGTCAGCTGCCGGGCAAGTTGTCCTCCCTCCCCCGACTCATGGCACCCCAGCCCTCAACACATGAGACCCATAGTGACCCCGTGTGCAGTGGATGGGACTCATGACAACCCTGCCTTCACCAGAGGAGACCTATGTTGACCCCGTGTACAATGAAACGAATTACTGCTGCCCTGAGTCATCCCCACGATGAGCTGCTGATCTGGCTGTGATTGTCCATAGGGTTTCCATTGACTCATTGGAAGTAGGTTGCCAGGCCTTTCTTCCTGGTCTATCTCAGTCTGGAAGCTCTGCTGAAACCTGCTAAGCATCAGAATGGCACACAAGTCTCCAAAGACAGACATATGAGGTACATGGGCCATGGGCCGGAAAGTGAGCTGGCTCTCCTACATGGAAGGTGAGCATCCTGCCCCCTGCCCCTACAGGGCAGCATGGGGCCTCTTCCTAAATATGCCCAGAGTGAGGGGCCGGCAGTGAAGACTGGTCAAGTCAGTTCACATGTTTTTACCGATCATCCAACTTCTATTACAAAAACCAGGACTGCCTTAGAGATGAGCTCCTGTTTGTAATGGGGTGACTTTCTGGGACATCTCAGACTGAGTCCCATACATGGTGTACCCCAATTACCACCGCATTCGTGTATGCAGGACGTCTGGCTCGCAGTGTGTCTAAAGCAGTGATGTGGACGCATTTGTGCCAGGCTGGGGTAGCTGACTTTTCCTGGGATTTTTCCAGAAGGGAATCTGAACTCTACTCTCCTATTGGGTGGCTACTCGTGAAAATGACTCTAAGCCACTTTTGGCATCTTTCCAAGACATGCACACCAGAGCCGGGTGCCTGGACACAGCACCCATGTCACCCAAGAGCAGGTCTGTGGCCTGACCTTGCCCCCAATCTACGAACCAGAGACTTGAGTGTTTCATAAGCCTTCCAAGGGATGGTCCTGGTTACTGATGTTGCTTTGTTGAATAGGACCCATTGGTCTAGCATGAAGTTGTTCCTGCCACCAGACCTTGGGTCCTTGAGTTGAATTCTTCAATTCCTGTTTGTTAGGCCTTTGGCTTGTAAGGCCCATGAGAAACCTGTCCTTGGGTCTCAATCAATAAGCATTAATTCAGCCAGTTGCCACAGAGTCAACACTGACTCATGGGGTCCCATGTGGCTCAGAGTAAACTGTGCTCCCGTAGGGTTTTCAGTGATGGATCTGGGGGGAGCTAGATCACCAGGTGGCTCTTGGTGGGTTCCAGCTAACAGCCTTTTGGTTAGCAACTGAGTTCATTATCTATTTGTGCTAGCCAGGGGCTTCAGACATTCCTAAGTGGGATACAGGTATGGGACAGAAATAGGGCAATGGAAGTAACAAGAAAGACGTGTTTTGATGTGATGTGATGAATCTTCTCTTCTGCTGGGTCTCAGGAAGGGGACCAGAGCCCTACTTTCATGATGGAATTTCTTTTTCTTCTCCTTTTCCTCTGCTCTGTCTCATCTCCCACTAATCTTTGTACAGGTTCATCACGGAGCTTACAGAAAATGCTCCCAGCCCAAAGTATGATGCCCCAGGGTTCCTCACTGTACCACCTGGGAGCTGGTTACAAATGCAAACTTCTAGGTCCCACTACAGAATGAGTGCATCTGAATCTCAGAGGGTAGAGACCAAAAATCTGTCTCCATCAAACCTCCAGATCCTTCAGGAATTGTGGGCCACATTCCCAGACTTTCAGATTCCGTGGGTCTGGGTGGGGACCAAGATTCAGTTAAGAGTTTGAGTTGCTCATAGGCTAGGCTGTGTGTGTTGGAAAAATTCGGGAAGCAGGGGATGGTGGGAGGGGATGCTGGGGGATCTGGCTCTTTGCAGTCAGATGCTAAGAAATCCAATGACAAGAAAGAAGAATATGTTCAGGTTATCTTCTGTTTTGAAAGAGGTTTTTTTAGTGGACATTATTTTCTACCTTTGCAAAGAGCTACCAGCCCAGGAAAGCAATTTTGGTTAAGTAATGGTCTGCTAACTGAAAAGCTGGTGGGTAAAGCTTTGTGGGGGGTGGGGGTGGAGGAACCAGGCTTTCAGTTTTCAAAGAGATGAAATCAAATCAAAAGAGCTAAACATACTACTACCATGGAGTTGATTCCGACTCACAGCAATCCTGTGTAGAGTTTTCAAGACTATAAATATTCACGTGAGCAGATGGCCTCATCTTTCTCCCGCTGAGTGCTTAGCAGCCCAGCATTCAACCCACAGCGCCACCAGAGCTCCTTTCCATAAAGAGGGCAGTCTAGAAAATCTGATGGCGCAATTCTGCTCTTGTCACATGGGGTCGAGATGGGTTAAAACTGACTTGACGGAACCCAATGACAACAGGGAATAAACATTGAAATGGCAATGTCAGGGGACACTTGGTTCCCTTCAGGACCCACGCGTTTTCAGGGTTGTTAGCGTCTGCGGAACTGACTCGGGCTGAAGGCAGCGTCTGTGATTCACAGCAGACATGCTACATGACGTTTTCCGTTTTCAACAGCCTGACCTTCCGGAAGTGCATTACCAAGTCTGTCTTCTGAGGTGCCTCTAAACACCAAAATCAAACCTACTGCCACCCAGTCAATAATGACGCACAGCGACCCTGTAGGACAGGACAGAACTGCCCTTTAGGGTTCCTGAGACACTAACTGTTTATAGGAGCAGAAAGCCTCACCTTTCTCCAACACAGCTGAAGGTAGGTTTGAACTGCTGACCGTACGGTGAGCAGCCTGACGCTTACCCCACTGTACCACCAAGGTTCCTTGTGGCAGTTCAAACCACCAACAATCCAGCGGACACTCAAGCATTTAACTATTCTGAGGTCAAGACAGAGCCCACATGTGTCTAAAGAACTTAAAAACAATCCAATCTCAAATACCTGTCCCCCAAGCCCCTGGGAATAACTAATGGGAAGTTGGTGACATTTCCAAAGGTAAACGTGAGTGACAGGGTTTCTGGGCTTATCATGGGATTTCTAAACACGGGTCACCTGGGCAGATACCCTCCAAAGGGAGCCTGTCCCTTCATAACACCTTGAGTCATGGTGATCGGCATCCTCAGGTCTTGCCTTGAATCTTCAGGAGCTTCTAGACGTCTCCTGCCTCTGACTAAAGGTATTTTGGGTTCTGTTCTCGACATGCCAATTATATCTGGCCTTCACTGCCTTTTAAGTTCTTACCTGGAGGAAGAACGGTTCCTGGCTGTGGAAATGGGCCTCTTTTCAGTGAGTGAGTATATTTAAAATGCTGCCTGCCAGCCCTCAGGAAGTACAAAGGAGGTGGCGTTTGAGAAGGAAAGAGCCAAAGCAGAATATAAGATTGGGATGTGGAAGCACCATATTATCACACTTTCTGAGGTCTGGCTGATTTATGCAGACAGCTCTTCAGAAAATGCTGTGGAACAGTCTTATTTCCATCCTGAGGGCTGGCAAAGGCGTACATCAAAGAAACATTTTGTGATTGGACTGAGGGAGAATTTATTTTATTTATTTATTTTTTTGCTGAAGCTCTTTTTTATGAAGGACACTTTGAAAGCAAGGTTATAGGTAAGAGGATTAGGACCCGCCAGGACTATGGAACCAAAGAAACACCTAAAGAGTTAACAGCTTATACGCTAGGCCTCCAAAGTCAGAATCCAGGTCCCAGGGTGGTGCCAACCATTTGCCATCAGCTAGTATCCAACAGTGCCCTGGATGAATGGCCTGATAATCTGTTTCTGTTAGATTTGTTGATGTTGTTAGGTGCCATCGAATCAGTACCGACTCATAGCAACCCTATGCACAACAGAATGCAACACTGCCCGGTCCTCAGCCAACCTCACTATTGTTGCCACGCTTGAGCCCATTGATGCTGCCACTTTGCCAATCCATCTCATTGGGGGTCTTCCTCTCTTTCATTGACCCTCCACCTTACCAAACATGATATCCTTCTCCAGCAACTGGTCCCTCCTGACAATATGTCCGAAGTATGAGTGACAAAGTTTGGTTATCTTGGCCTCCAAGGGACACTCTGGTTGCACTTCTTCCATGACAGATCTATTGGTTCTTTTGGCAGCTCATGGCACTTTCAATGTTTTCCTCCAACACCATAACTCAAAAGCATCAATTCTTCTACGGTCTTCCTTATTTGCTGTCCAGCTTTCACAGGCATATGAGGTTATTGAAAATACTATGGCTTGGGTCAGGGGCACCTTAGTTCTCAAGCTGACATCTTTGCTCTTCAACACTTTAAAAAGGTCTTGTGCCTAATGCAATATGTCCTTTGATTTCTTGACCGCTGCTTCCATGAGTGTTGATAGTTGATCCAAGAAGAATGAAGTTCTTGACAACTTCAATCTTTTCTCTGTTGATAAGAATGTTGCTTATTGGTTCAGTGGTGAGGATTTTGTTTTCTTTACATTGAGATGCAAAATGCAATCTGCAGGCTGTGCTCTTTGATCTTCATCAGTAAATATTTTAAGTCTTCTTCACTTTCAGCAAGCAAGGTTGTATCATCTGCATATTGCAGATTGCTAATGAGCCTTCCTCCAATCCTGATGCCACGTTTTTCTTCATATAACCCAGCTTCTCGGATGATTTGCTCAGCATACAGGTTGAATAAGTATGGTGAAAGAATACAACCTTGTCACACACCTTTCTTAATTTTACACCATTCAGTGTTCCCATGTTCTGTTGGAACAACTGCTTCTTGGTCTATATACAGATTCCTCAGGAGCACAATTAAATGTTCAGGAATATTCATACTTTGCAATGTTGTCCATAGTTTGTCATGATCCACACAATCGAAAGCCTTTGTGTAGTCAATACACTCAAGAAAATCGGATGGAGCAACTCCAGTCTGTAACACATGGGGTCGCCATGAATTGACAGGATGCCAAATGGACTGAATCCCCTATTGTTGTTGCTAGGGCCGTCAAGTTGGTTCTGACCCATAGCGGTA